TTCGTCATCATCAATTTTGATTATTTTGGTTTTGTTAGCCCCGAATTCTTATTCGTGCACCGTTCCGTTTTCAGTTACTTGTTCACTGAGTTAGTGCGGCCTATTCGTCGGAGTTTCAAGTCGTTCGTTTCGTATGTGTGAAATAATCCGTGGTGAATAGATGGAGAATCAGATTGAAATGTTCACTTAGATACACGGTGTAATGTGAACCATACCTTACACTGCGAAATGCAGATGAACAATCATAGGGTTGGATAAAGTGACAAGATGAGTTACACCACGGCGTAGATAGCTAATGTTTATTGTTGACGTAAAATCAAGGGCTGGGTGCCAGGACTGACTGCTCCACGTAGAAATGGGCGTCATCAGAACAAAGCCGGTTCAAAGCGCGATGGTTTTAATGTGTGCGCGCATTCGTGGGCACGTGATGCAGACAATCGTCAATAGGGTGCATAACGCTACTGACGGTTTTTCTTAACGGTAGGTCTCTGCAATCACTTTCACGTTTAGGTGTCTTAGTACAAAGTGACGGTTCAAGCATAAAACGAGCACCACGGGATTACAGCTATTAAGGGCCTGTCGAACACAAAAGCCACAGGCGGACAGACTAGACAGATTGATTGAATCTATGTTCAGCCGCGGGCGGGGAGACGCACTGAGTCACTGCGGTATAAATGGAGTCGATTCGGCTGTGGATCCTGCTAACCAAGATAAACCTCTTTTGGATGTGTACAACAGGTTCTGTCGGTCCGTTTCCAACCGAGCTGCATTTGTCAGGGTGCTATGAAATAGAGGTGATTCAGGTATTACAAATAGCGGGTACCTACTTATCCTAGCTATCCTTAGAATTTTAATATAAAATTGTGATGAACTCATGCATTCGGTGTTAATTAGACCGTGGTTTACGAGAACTTTTGGAGCTTGGACAAAAACTCTGAGTTCTCGTAACAATCACTGCTCCTCACACTCGTTGGGTTCAGTACAGTACAGTGTTTCAGCCATCTTTTCCCATAAACGAATTGGTCACATAAGAGCAAACCTAGTTTAGCCGGAGTGTGGGTTCGGAGAGGACACTGATTCTGTTCGACTAAGATATGGACACAAGAACATGGTTCGTGTATTTGTGATGCACGGTTCTGGGTTTCTTTATTCGCTGAGTGGGATCAGGGGGTCACCACGACTTATTTCACCTCATCTGAATACACTTTTTATTCCACCATAACTTGAGACAAATGAGATAAGCAAAAGAGGTGGGCACAGCTCCTTTCTCTGTGTATTTTGTTTTCAAGCGGGGGTGGATGGAGGCAATATGTGAAACAAGTGCCGTTTTCTGACGCTTCCAAGTCAACAAACCGATATAAAATATGCATTCATACACACACTCATTCATCGCTTTTAGGTGGCCGCAGCGCAACATCACGTTTGACCTACCGATTACGCTTGCGCATGCGAAGAGATAGTCACGTGAACAGACCCAAGATGACACAGACCACAATTGTTGACTTGGGCTCCCGTTTGGCCTGAAGTCGACAACGTGCACCGATCCACAGGTACTTATTTTGTGCAATAGGTGTGGATCAGTGGGGTAAATAGTGCTACTACTACTACTACTACTACTACACGGGTGAATTTTGTGTGAACGAGAAACGGCACTGTAAACCCTTATATGTGTATGCGTGCGAACACGTGTTCATACGTGCGTGTATTTATACGTACGTGCATGTA